CCCCCCCCCAAAGGAAGGAAGAGGGAGGAGTGCCCAGGAAGATGTGGCTTGTGAGAAACTGAGCTCCATTCCCAGAGCTAGGGGTACCTTCAAAGAAGCTCAGGATGGTCCCAATCCAGCTAAAGAAGGGCAGTCTCTTCAGACCAGGTAGATACGGCAGGTGCAACCAGACGGTGAAGACAAAGCCCAGCCCCAGGGTCAGGCAGAAGGTTATCCGGGCCACCCCGAAGACCGGGTGATTTTCCCACAGCTTAAAACTATCTGGAGAAAATGAGAATACAGGACGAACTCAGGATTCACAAGAGAAAAAAATATATAATCAAATGAGTAATTACGAGAAAAAGTTAATAAGCGAAGAAATGCACATTTGAGATAACAATGAAATATGACTTTCACTTATTAAATAGGCAAGGGTTCTTTTTTTTTTTTAATGTTTATTTATTTTTGAAAGCGAGAGAGACAGACAGAGTATGAGCAGGGGAGGGGCAGAGAGAGAGGGAGACACAGAATCCGAAGCAGGCTCCGGGCTCCGAGCTGGCAGCACAGAGCCCGACGCGGGGCTCGAACCCACGAACTGTGAGATCATGACCTGAACCGAAGTCAGACGCTTAACCGACTGAGCCACCCAGGCACCCCGGCAAGGAGTCTTAACATGGAGATTGTTTGAAAATCCCAACCATACGAAAATGAATAACTCAGTAGAAAAGTGGGTTGGGGAGGAGGGCCTGGGTGGCTCAGTCGGTTAGGTGTCCAACTTCGGCTCAGGTCATGATCTCCCAGTATGTGAGTTCAAGCCCCACAGGAGGCTCCACACTGACAGCACGGAACGTGCTTGGGATTCCCTGTCTCCCCCCTCTCTCTGCCCCTTCCCCACAAGCTCTCTCTCTCTCCCTCCCACTCAAAATAAATAAGCAAATAAATAAATAAAACCCCCCAAAAACTTAAAATATTTCATTCTTTCATCCAGCCAAGCCACTTTGGGAAATCTATACCAAAGAATTCATACTAAACACAGGGGGGGGGGGGAACTTTATGATTAACAAATTTGTTGCTCCTTTTTTCACAAATATGACATTGGAAATAAACTTTGCCAAGAATGGAAGAATAAAAGTCAAGTAAAAAGGTGACAATCCATTCACTTGATATATATCTATTAATTCATATATTTTTTTAATGTTTACTTGTGAGGGAGAGAGCACGGGTGGGAGAGGGGCAGGGAAAGGGAGACAGAGAATCCGAAGCAGGCTCCAAGCCGTCAGCACAGAGCCTAATGTGAGGCCTGAACCCATGAACCGTGAGATCATGACCAGACCCGAAGTCGGACACTCAACTGACTGACCCAATGTCCCATCTATTATAATATGGAAACGTTTACTGTATCTTTATAGACATATTTAAAACACTATAAATTAAATTAAAATAATTTAGAAGATATAAAATTGTTTATGAAGACTGAGTACAGCTGCATAAAAACCATTCAAAATTTTCATGCATCTTCCTTTTTATTCCGAGAGGCTCCAGCTCAAACCAAAGTTACAAAGTCAAGCACTACTCTGAGTTCCTGATACAGCAAATCCCTGCTTGGTCTTCAAAAAATAGAGGTCTGTAATTCCTTTTTGAACATGCCTTCGAAGTGGAGGTCTTTGGCCATGAGCTCCTCTTCGACATCATCTAGTGCCCACTGGTGATCCGTCAGCTCCAAAGCTTCCCACTCTGTCTTGAAAGCTTTGTTGGTGTCTGCAGGCATGGCCATGGCTGCTCCAGTCATCTGCTCCTGCATCATCCGTGACTGGTCAGCGGCATTATCTTGGCCCAGAATCAGAGAGTAAATGCTCCGAAGCCCAAAGACATTGAGGAAGTACCAAGATGCAGAACTCACCCAGGATGCATCTAATGTGAGTAGTTCAATTCCTTGCTGTAGCATAGGTTTAAAACGGAAGGTCAGTGGAAATGGGACTTTGGTTGTGACAAAGCCTGAGAATGTCATGTTGATCCATCCACCAATAAGAATCATAGGGAGAACATTTGTTACATTGCCTTTCATCATGTCTGTGAGCATAGTGGGATCAGTCATAGGAGAAGGAGGCACTACCTTCCTTTTAGTTTTTTTGAAAAATCCATCCTCTGGGTTGTTGAAGTAATATTTTCGTGTCAAGAATGACTGTTTGGGAATGTATTTTCCATTTTCCCTGAGGACTCTGCTTCGAATTAGGACTTGACTGTCGGAGACTTGTTCCTGGGTGAGCTTCTGGTCACTCTGCAGCAGGATGGACACGTAGTGGCGGATCATGCCCACAAAGAAGGTGATAATAACGATGGGCAGGACCACCCAAAGGCGGATGTTGGAGTCGAGCAGCAGCTCTGGCCCCGCCATCTCACAGAGAGCCTGCTCCGACCAGGTGTAGCCAGGTTTCTTTTCCCCGAGGTACGGAAGTCACTCTTCGATTTCGCCTCCCGGCCTTCTCCCGCCTCTCAGCCTGGCTGGCCCCAAACCCTACTCCGGCCTCGGCCCTCGCGCACTGCCCCAGCCCCAGTTTTTTTTTTTTTTTAAAGCCTGGCTCAGTCGGTGGAGTGTGCAACTCTTGATCTCGGGGTTGTGAGTTCGGGCCCCACACTGGACATGGAGATTACTTAAAAATAAACTCTTTAACACATAATAATAAATAAGGGCGCCTGGGTGGCTCAGTGGGTTAAGCAGCGGACTCTTGATTTCAGGTCAGGTCATGATCTCACGGTGCGCGAGATCAAGCCCCGGGTCCGGCTCTGTGCTGACGTTGCAGATCCTGCTTGGGATTCTCTCTGCCCCTCCCCTCCGTTCACGCTCTTTCTCTCTCACTCTCTCTCAAAATAAATAAATAAATAAATAAATAAATAAATAAATAAATAATTTAACGGGTGCCTGGTGGCTCAGTAGGTCGAGCATCTGACTCTTAACTTTAGCTCAGGTCATGATCGTAGTTTGCCGGATCAGGCCCCACGTCAGGCTCTGCGCTAACAGGGTAGAGACTGCTTGGGATTCTGCGTCTCCCTCTCTCTCTGCCCCTCCCCTGCATGTTCACGCTCTCTCAAAAGTAAATAAATGAACATTACAAAAAACAAAACAGGGGCGACTGGGTGGCTTGGTCGGTTAAGCGTCCGACTTCGGCTCAGGTCATGATCTCACGGTCCGTGAGTTCGAGCCCCGCGTTGGTCTCTGTGCTGACCGCTCAGAGCCTGGAGCTTGTTTCGGATTCTGTGTCTCCCTCTCTCTCTGCCCCTCCCCTGCATGTTCACGCTCTCAAAAGCAAATAAATGAACATTAAAAAAAAAAAAGAACGCTCTGGTTTTGCACGAGAGCTGAGAAAGGAGGCCCAGCGCCGGGAGGGGAGGTCAGACGAACAAGAACTAGAAGAGAAAGGCTGCAAGGACGCCGAGAAGGAAGGAGCAGGGAAACCAGACACGGAAACCCAGAGCTGGCCCAGAAAAGCAAGGCCTGAGGGAGAAGGGAAGAAAAGAGGCTGGGGCCCGGGCCTGGGAGAGAGCATTCTGGGGACTCCCCTGAAGCTCGGGGTTTGCAAGCCTAGAGGAAGGAAATCCCCACCTCCAAGGAGGCTCTTCTCCCAATATAACGGGTGTGTTGTGTGATTGAATGATTGACATTCCTTCCCTGAGAGTCGTGCCCCTGGCAACATTGTCACAGGCGCAGACTGGGCTCTGAGCTCCTCCAGAGCAATGGTACCTTCCCTTGGGTCAGGCAGAGCCCTCCGGCCAGGACGGACGGGAGAATGAAAACCGATCCTCGGCGGTCTCTGCCGGTGAGGCCATCTTGCAGGGAAACAGCACTGGGGACGACCAGAAGGAGGGGACGAGGCCACAGGGCGCAGACGGCGCGAGCGAGGCGGGCCGGTTCCCCGGGGGGCGGCGACGGGGGCGCGGAGGGTCTCACCTTTCCCGTTTTCGGAGCTGGAGCAGCTCTTGGATTTGCAGATGTACAGGAGCCCCATGGACATGAGACGAGCCGACGTGTAGATTCTCGCGCTGACGTTGGTGGGCCAGCGCTGGTAGACGCGGCTCCCGGAGAGGCACAGCCACTTCTTGGAGAACACCATGGCCAGCAGCAGGATGAAGGCGACGAGGCTGAGCTCGGAGGCCAGCACCCGCGCTACCCAGCGGGAGCTGTGCGTCATCCTCCACCACAGGGGCAGCACGGAGATTCTCCGGGGCTCCGAGGGGTGCTCCCCGGGCACCTGCCTGTCACCGCTGGGGTCAGCCGGCCAGCTCTCTTCTTGGGCCAGGCTCCCCTCCGCCCGGTCCTGCTTCCCAGCCCCCACTTCCCTCGCCAGGGTTTGGATGCTCATCCTTTCTTCCTACCGGCCCGGGAAATCCAGCCCTAAAGGCCCCTGCCCCCATCCTGAGCACTCCCTGTCTCTCCTCCTAACCTCCACCCCATCTCCACCTTCCCTTGCTGGGCTCAGTGGCCCCTCATCCTTTAAATATTTGTAGCAGGCAGAGACCTTGCCACCACAGGGCCTGGGGTCTGGGAAAGAAACAACCTATTCAGTAGGACCGGGCCCCTAACTGCCATGGAACTTTCCAATATTCCGGGGGCGGGACAGTCAAGTGGGGGAGGGGCCCAAGGTCACGGGCCCCACCTCCCAAGAGCTGCGGTTTCTGAGGGTCCCCTCTTCCCTTCCCACATCCTCGGCCCTGACCCCACCCCAAAATGCTGACAGGGGGAGCAGGGGGAAGGAGAGGGAGTCGGTCCTCAGAAAAGCAGCCTCCCCAAGTTCTTTGGAAATGTCTTCCAAAGGTGTGACCGACCTTCTCACTACTCCCCCCAACCCCTCACCTCCCTCCCGCCTCCACTCTGTATCTTCTTCCCTTCCTTATTTCCCCTCAGCACCAGAAGGGGAGGACATAGGATAAGGAGGGGGTAAAGGAGTGTCACACGAGCTGAGATTTTTCTTTTCTTTTTTATGGTTTTATTTTTATTTTTATTTATTTATTTATTTTTTTATATTTTTTTTTTCAACGTTTATTTATTTTTGGGACAGAGAGAGACAGAGCATGAACGGGGGAGGGGCAGAGAGAGAGAGGGAGACACAGAATCGGAAACAGGCTCCAGGCTCTGAGCCACCAGCCCAGAGCCCGATGCGGGGCTTGAACTCCCGGACCGCGAGATCGTGACCTGGGTGAAGTCGGACGCTTAACCGACTGCGCCACCCAGGCGCCCCTTATTTTTATTTTTTAAAAATAATCTCTACACCCCACGTGGGGCTCGAACCCACAACACCAAGATCAAGAGCCTCACGCCCCACCCACCCACTGAGCCAGTCAGGAGCCCCACAGTCTGAGATTTTTCTCGGCTAGGAGAAAATAAATCTGAATCACCTGGGGCGACCTGATCATAGCAGCTTCTAGACCTCAGACCCCAGGAGCTCTGGCAAGGAAAAAGCCTTTCAGATTGGGGATGTGAGTTTGAATCCTATCAGAGTCGGTTCACTCTGAGGAGGCAGTAGTGATCCACGTGGTTAAGAACACAGGCTTTAAGGTCCAACAGGCAGAGAGAGGAATGTGGGCCAGCGAACCTGCATGCATCCAACAGCTTCTTTGTGCCTCAGTTTACTCACCTGTAACACAGGAACAATAACCCTCCTCGCAGACTCCGTTTCAGTATCAAATGGGATAATAAACAATGAGCACTCATTGCTACATAGTCAGTTTCCAGAAAGTGATAGTTGTTACAATTACATTATCATTTTCATCGGTTTGTGCTCTCTCGCTAGGATACGGAGAAGGAAAAAAAAACACACAGGCTTTTGGAAGGCATCCTTGCGCCTGTGAGTGGCTACAAATGATGGAAGGAACCCAAAGAGGCCTAAGCAAAAGGGGAGTTCATGGCGAATCCCAAGGTCACGTGCTCAGCAGGACCGGAAGTACAGCCAGAATCAGGAACTCAGATCCCGTGAGGGTTCTTCCTCCGTTTCTTAGTTTGTCCGGCTGCCGTAACAAAATGCCACAGACGGGGGAGCTTATAAACAACAGAAATGTGTCCCTCGCGTTTTCAGAGGTTGGAAGTCCAAGTTCGTGGCAGTCCAGCATGGTCCGGTGAGGGCCCGCTTCGAGGTCTCGGGCTTTTTGCTGTATCTTCAGGCGGGGCCAGGGAGCCCTGTGGGGTCTCTTGCCTAAGACGCCAATCCCACTGGCGAGGACAGAGCTCCGGCCCTGGCGGGGACAAGCGCCGTGCTCAGAACCGTCGGCCGCGGTCGGGAGACACCCGGGTCCAGGAGGCTGAGCAGAACTAGTGATTTCAGGATTCTGTTTCCTTCCTTGGGTCTCGTTTAGTTCTCCTGGAGTGTCTAAGAGCTTCTCATCCTAATGGCCACACAAAACAACCTGGAAGAATCTTGGAAATATGTTTCCTGAAAAACGTAACTCCCAGAAGTCTATGCTATAAATAGGATCCCAGTTCTAGGGAGTTCCTAAACAAGCCCAACTAAACTCAACGTTGTTTAAGTATACACACTACTACGATGGCATGGTACGTTGTAAAAATCAGGGGCGCCTGGGTGGCTCAGTCAGTTGAGCGTCAGACTCTTGATTTCGGCTCAGGTCATGATCTCATGGTTCACGGGATCGAGCCCGGCCTGTCAGCATGGAGCCTGCTTGGGATCCTCTGTCTCCATCTCTCTCTGGCCCTCCTCTGCTTGTGCTCTTTCTCAAAAATAAATAAATATAAATAAATATCAGCAGAGGGATGCCTGGCTGACTCAATCAAAGGAGCGTGCCACGCTTGATCTCAGGGTCGTGAGTTCGAGCCCCACGTTGGGTACAGAGATTACTTAAATAAATAAAATTTGGAAAAAAAAACAAAAACAAAAATGAAAATCAGTAGAATGATAAACACAAAATACAGAGTAGTGATTATTTCCCGGGAAAGGCAGGAAAACGGGGCAGAGAGGATTACACCGGGCACGCAGGTTATTAGCAATAGGTTATTCATTCCGGTGCTCGGTGCACAGGCATTTATTATATTATAATAACTTATAACCAACATATATGTCATATAATCCTGTGAATGTATCAGATGCTGTTTTTCAAAAGGTAATTAAAAATAGCTTAACAGTGGGGAGCCTGGATGGCTCAGTCAGGCTTGATTAGACTCGTGATTTCGGCTCAGGTCATGGACTGGGGGTTCGTGGGATCGAGCCCCGGATCCAGCTCAGCACTGATAGCTTGGAGCCTGCTTGGGATTCTGTCTCTCTGCCCCTCTACCACTCATGCTCTCTCTCTCTCTCTCTCTCTCTCTCTCAAAATAAATACATAAACTTAAAAAATAGTTTAAGAAAGGAAATGCAATCCTAGTGATTATAGGTCTGCAGGGAAATCTATGTATAAAGTCACAATATATAAGGTAAACACTATTAGTTAGAGTTTCAACTTCCAGACTCAACAGACAGACAAAGCACGGAAGACTTAACTATGGCTACAGAAGTAAACATAGCCGTTATCAGCCTCGATGTGGTCCAAGTAAAAACTCAGAAG